CGAGGTACAGTTAAGATTTCAACGCGACTGAAATATTAACACCATCGGCAAATAAACTACACGCGTGATTTATGAAGCTGTCGTCCAGCAGTTAATCGCCGATGTCATAGGAGAAGCCAATGGTTCTGGGAATCTTTTTCATTGCTGAGCTGCATTTCTTGGTCAGCTTCTCGTGTTATCAATATATCAAGGGGGAAATAGAGCGATCGATGCCCTTAACAGGTCATTATGTGAGCGATAAAGTCAAGTAAAGCTGGTTCCGCACGAGCTAAGGGCTCGGATGTCGGCTAGAGCTTTTAGCGCCGTTCATTGAATATAATAGGGACAACCCCGTTCTCCGATCCCACATCACACGTTAACCTTCTCTCCTTCCCAGCACACGACAGAGTATCAATTGATAAACGCACAGACCTGACGGCTCTATATATGGATACTCAGTGTTGTGGCTGCTCATGGTTGCCAGCAATGACGGGTATGTGGCCCATAACAGTTTGGCATGCCCTAGTTGTTGTTATTTGAATCAGGTGGGGTTCACTTGCATTTAACCTTTCCACACGGACTGAGAACCTGTTTTGGGCAGCTGAGACAAGATGTCCAATAATCCGGGGCTGAGGCTCAGAGACGAATGGTCGAGTTCTCATCAGTCGAATATAACCTTTGTATTGTGGTTTAGAAGGAGGCAATACTCCGGCGGACTTATGAAGAGCCTAGCCCATCATGAGCTCACGATTTATGACCCTATCTCTCTCTTATTCGAATGAAATAAGATGAATGTGGCATGATATATCTTATAATCTACCATATCCATCGCTCATAATCCTCTGTAATTGCCACCACCATGGTTTGGACTATGCGTGACCAAGAACGCGACCTTACCATCGTACCGAGTGAATATAACCTCTTATTGAATAATATACAGGCGAATATCGGAATTAGTTGAGCTACTTCTGAATAGTTTTATCTAGCGAGACTGAACGAGATAATGTAGGGAGACGAGATTGTATATGCGGGCAACTCTCCATTATTGGAAACGGAATTGATCCTAATTTTGACTCCTGTGCCGGAAATCTAATGAACCACTGTGCTTGAGAAGCTCTTCACTGCTGTTACGATCTGTACAATGCTTCATGTCAAAGTTCAACAGCAGTTTCACGTCATAAAATCAGTCTCCCACATTGACAGACACACTCTCTGTGTGTTTTCCAGCTGATAAACATGCTACCATGGCTGGATTCTGTTGACCATTCTCCCTGTCCAACTTGACTTCGGTGGATGAGGATGAGAATGAGGATCTTAGCCTGCTTATTGCACAGCTAACTGTCTTACTACCC